TGGGGGGGAGAGAGTAACCAAAGAATTTATATGCGTGTATGCAATATCCAAGGAGATGGACAATGGTGGGGAGAGGGACTGAGGAGGAAGGTGGGATGGGGTGGAACAGGTCATTGGGGAAAAAAAGGGACATCTGTAATAAAAAAAAAAAAAAAAGATGTGCATGTGCTAAGGGAAATAAAAAGGTCACGCTAAAAATAAAAGATAAACTACCTTAGAACATATAAATTACATCTTGATTCAACTAAGTTTGACTTTCTTGGAATTTTTGGTAAAACATAAGATGGAATCTCCTGGTATTCAGTGCATTCTTAATAGATATTTAAGAAAACTGGGTCTATGTTCAGGTAAGTTTAGTAGTGAGGGCTACATAGAAAACTCGTCCTCATTTTAAAGAACACACTGGTATGTATGTGTTATAATAAATTTAGGTGCATTGAAATACACTATACCAATTTCTTTTTTATGTAAACCATAAGAAATTTATTTTTCTTATATTTTATTCTGTGAAATATAAAAAATGATTTTTAAAACTATGAGAAAGTTACTAGTTCTCAAAATATAAAATTGTACTTTCTATGAATTTTAATGACATTATTAATGTCATTAAAGATAGGCTTCTTAATGTCTTGCTCCAAGTAGACAGATGATCAGTGCTCAATTTGAATACAATAGCATTTAACAAAAGGGGTCAGAATGTACCATTAATAGACATTAAGAACCAACTATTGTAGTATACTTTCTCTCAATTAATGCCTTTAAATTTTTAAAGCTGTATACCGTTAGGCCCAAGCCTAAATTGTATCTTCTATCATTCTCAAAATAGAATATTAAGTAAGTATTGTAAATTTTGCATCTGACATTTAACATGGCAGAGTATAGGAACTGGATTAAAAACAAGATTACAAAGAAATTCATTGGGCGTCATTGATTAAGGGACTAATGTATGCTAGACACTGAGATGTATTAACAGTAAGGGGGTCTGAGAAAGTTATGTTGTATTATCTAGAAGGAGCAAATACAATTTATGTAAATGCTTGCTACTGACCCATTCACAATATCACAGGTGTTTGGTCTGGACTGAACGGTTCCAGTCATTCTTTTCTGCTTCGAGCTGGTCACTGAGAATACGGAGGACCACTGTGCATTTGGATCTGTAGTAGTGCAACTAGATTACTTTGGATTGGTGTGATGCCCAGTCTACATAGTGCCATACTACCATTAGATGTCCAGACTGAGCGTAAGTCAGGAGTACCTGGACCAGGGATATACCCTGATTGTTTGAGGATAGGTGCTGATATTTTCCTGTAGTTTCTTCCCAGATGTAGCCATATCTCCTTTGTTCAAGAAATTACGGACAGAAGGCTTTTCATTCCTGTACCAGAAGAAATTAAATTTAGGAATCTATTATTTAAGTATAAGTGTAAAAAGTAGTTTGAAGTTACTTGATTCCCTAGCAAGGTAGTTGGGAATAAGGTGGATAGAACTGGAATTAGAAGTTGACCTAATAAAGAACTAGTGGAATTATATCTATAAATGTTTCTAGTTTTGATACGACATCTTATGCAAAGAGAAATTACAATTGTTTCCTTGTTTCCCATGTAGATTTTACAAAAACTATTTGTTTTTCCCCTCCCTTTCTGGTTTACAGGTGCTACTTTTACTGACTGGTTTACTTCTTATGTCAACAGTGTTGTATCAGGTGGCTTCCCTATCATCAGAGACCAAATTTTCAGGTATGTCACTTGGGGCTTTTTGTAATGGAACGATTGTAATCAGCAAAAATCATTGTGATTGGTTATAGATCATAAAATGAAGTTTCCGAGGAAGGTTAATAACAGAACCTTTCATAATCGTAATTCTATTTTATTCTCACTTTAAAGCCAAAGCATCCAACACTTGAACAGCTGGTATTTTTCTTATCTTGAAGAATCAAGAGAAAAAAACTGATTTTGATTTAGAAGTTATGGCTTTATAGCAGTTGTGTACAAAGCTGTTTGCCAGTTAGTATGTTTAGTATGAATAGCAAGTCAGTAATTATTAACTCCTAGCAAATATTTATTATCTCTAACTGGAACATCCAAGTATTATAGATAGTATTAGAGGTCATATTGGTTCACAGTAGCCTGGTTGACAGAAATGATAGCTTAAGTATACATTAGAGGCCTCTGGAGTAACATACACATTTTTTTGTCAGAGCCACTGTTTATAGGGTATAGCTGGGTTTTCAGATGTCCCCTAAGTTTCCTTAGCTCTGAAAACAGGGATAGGCTCATTTTAGTTTCCAAGTTAATTACTGATCTATTATTTGAACCACTGATCATTGAACTTTTACTGCTACCATTACTGATCCAGAGTCTTCAAAGCTTTCTGGTTTGCTTGTAATTTCTAGTTTTCTTCTAAGCTTAATAGGACTATACCTTTAAGGTCTCAAATGTGATTTAAATTTTCAATCCCGAAATGAAGTATAAGCTATTTTGCATTATATCTTTAACCTTTTATCTTACAGAATTGAGGTTAATTGACTAAAACATGTTTAATTTTTTTAATCACCTAGATATGTTCATGATCCAGAGTGTGTAGCAACAACTGGGGATATTACAGTTTCAGTTTCCACATCATTTTTGCCAGAACTTAGCTCTGTACATCCACCCCACTATTTCTTCACATACCGAATCAGGTGAGAATTTTAAATGCGGTCGCCTATCAGTTAGTAATGGGATATATCCTGTGGATGTGTTGTTACTGCCCTATTTGACGTGATGAAACACATTTTGAAAGGCAGCTTCTTGCTGAGTGTGGAGGAAGGTGGGTAACACAGTTTTCTACAGTATGGTCAGGGAGGGTTTTTTCTGCTTTTTTATTTTTATTTTTTTAAATATATCTTTATTGATTTCAGAGAGAGGAAAGGAGATGGAGAAAGAGATATAGAAACATAAATGATGAGAGAGTCATTGATTGGCTGCAGCCCGCAACCCGGGCATGTGCCCTGAACTGGGAATCGAACCCCAATCGCCTGGATCCTAGGTCGATGCTCAGCCGCTGAGCCACGTCCAGCCCGGCTGCTTTTACTTTTATTTGCATTTATTGATGCTAAATTTACTCTGGGTCCCTAAGTTTTTGTTTCTTCAGTGTCTTCTGGGATATCTTACTGGTTTAAGAACGGTCTCTCTTTATCAGTAGGACCATCTCAGTGTGGCTGGGCGAGCTCCTGTGTGGGTTAATCCGCCCTTGCACCCTGTAAGTTCTGCACCGCATCTTGGGAGCTTTGTTCACCTGGATGTGCTCCATGACCAGAGAATCTACATCTGAACCCTGACGTTCAGCATTGCTCTCTGCATTTTTAAGCATGTGTAGCAAAATTCAGCACTCTTTTTGGCTACTGATCCTTTGTCCAGCCCCACTGTTAGGCTTGGACGCACCTGCCAAATCCATCGTCGCAATAACGGAATGTCACACATTGCTTTAGTAAAATGACACCCTTCAGATACTTGGTGGCTTTTTGGATGTGCATACCCTTGATGACCTGGGCAGTTTCATGAGTGTTCTTGAAGTGAACATGAGGATTTGAACCTCCTGATTTGCATGATTTTGTGGGGTTTTCTGGGTCAAATGAATAGTGAACCATTTTCAGAGGCCACCTCAGGCCGCTTATGGGAAGAGTAAGTACAATATAGTTTATAAAGTATCTTGAGTTTATATTAACTTCTAAGTTATTTCTTGTAAATACACGTATTGTGCCAAGTATTTTGCAAGGTGGACCACTAAGTTGTAATCATAGTGAAAGGTCAGAATTAGAGTTGTCATGTTTTCTAGAAGCTATCACATTGCCCAAGGTAACATCATGCTTTTTAAAAATTTCACCTGGCCTGTGTATATTCAATTAAAAGTCTAATAAATATTTATTGAGTGCTGTCTGGATGTCAAACAGGGTGTTAAGCACTGGATTTGGTTAAATGAAAAACAAATATTAAATTCACTTTAATTAGAAGTACTCTGTGCTTCATGTTGAAGATAAGTCATTTGCTCTAAGGGATTAAGGGTACTCTGCTTTTAGATATATTTTTATATACTTTATGATGTTATATATAATATTTTAAAAATAAATATACATGCACATGTACATACTAGAAGTATTTTAGTAATGTATACTTACCAGGATTTTGGTATTGTATGTAGCCTTTGATTTGTCTAGTTACACATGCACAGGTGTTTGTTGTTTAATTTAGATTTTGCCTAGGACTGAGACGTGCTTAAATTAATAATACCTACATATGCTAATAGGGTACTCAAAATAAGAGATAGCAGATTCCCAGAGGAATGGGGGGAAATAATATTATTGGGAAGCAGAGTCAAAGTAATCCCAGTAACTGAATAGTGACATTTCTCTTTGAGCTTTCTAGAAGCTAATGGAGAAAAGGGAAAAGTGTTGCATAGCCTTATAGTGAATAAAAGACAGTCAGTTTTTTAGAATAGAAGTTTTTCATGGCACTAGATTCTAGAAATTTTCCCATACTGATCTTTATTTGAACTCAAAAAAGGTCTGATTTGTGTCTCTACCACCCCATTTCCTTCTCCAGGATTGAAATGTCAAAGGATGCACTTCCAGAGAAGGCCTGTCAGTTGGACAGTCGATATTGGAGAATAACAAATGCTAAAGGTGATGTAGAAGAAGTTCAAGGACCTGGAGTAGTTGGTATGTAACGCAAGATTTGGGTCTATACAGCAGTTGCATCTAAGACAGTATGGAGAGCATATATGTGACGCAGCTTGGAAACACATGATGTAGTTAGTGGATAAGACTACATCTTTTTAGTACTGTGTTTACAATGTGAAAGGTATCATAGATTCTGGGCTTCTCCTAACTACAATATTTTGCTTCATAAATATAATGTGTAAATGTCATTATTCTATCAGTTTAGTACCTTAAACATTGACTTTTCTAAAATTATAGCGAACTCAGGGATTGAGTTTTCATTCTGTGGATCCCCTG